AAAGATGGCCGGGGTTACTTCACACACCTTCTTGCCGTCACACCTGAATAGATAATAGAAAGTAGAGTCAGCAGTGAAGCACCATGGGAAATCCCACCAACGCTGAGAAGAACAATCTTTCATTGGGTTCTACGTGATTATGGGGTCTTGTAAGGTAAAAGGAATTCCCCACAAATATCATCAAAGTGAAATCGTCTGTTTTGTCTGAGGCGAAAGGCTCGCAGTCCCAGCTTTGCACTGGATCTGATAACCTGGCATTTCTTACTCCACGATCACTATCCATGAAAGCAAGAAGGCACGCTGATTCTTTTATATTCACTTTTCAAAAAGCATCTCGTCTTCCAGACATGATCTCTCACATCACTGAAGTTTCACACTATACATGCAGCACATTTCATCCCCTGTTATTCTACAGGACTTGTCCCGACTTCTTTGATGTTGGGCTGAGAAACAAACTCAGAGCAGGTCCAGTCAATCAACAATCATTTATTAAGCACATGCATGTGGCGATGTACACAATACCACCTTCTGTGTCGATCTCAAGAGGAAGCACTTAGATACACAGTTTCATATGTCAGGGTTAACGCTCCTTCATGCATAGGCAGATAACATAACATGCATCAGTTACAGTTAGCGACAGTTAGACATAATTCCTTTTTTGGTAATCTTCTATAACACTTAGAAATATCTATATGTGGTGATCAGCAGCAGTGACATCCATTGATAACAAATACCAGTGTGTTATTGGGACGTATACCTTGTCCTGATGGTGTCTTTGGCACCCTCCAGAGAGCACGTAGTATTGATGGCCACCTCTTCAGCTTTCTGTCCACTGCACGTGTTCCGGTCTCTTCGTCCATACATGGACTCCTGGACACGAATCACTCCAGTTTCTGTTGGACATCACAGAGGCAGGTATTCAAACACAACGACAGAGCTTACCAACCAGGGACGTCTGCAGCTGCCGTCAGCCTCACAAACTCACAAACACAAACTGCAGAGCTGCTCACTCGCTGCTTTGTATGCTTCCCAAACCCAAATGTCATTCCTGTCTTACTCTTCAGTACTCTGTACTCATAGAACCAAATCAAGGATCCCTTAAAGAAACGGGAGTGTTTTCCAAATCTAACTTAGTGGTGATTATATTAAACTCATGTGTGCCACTTATTTAGTTTTGATGCAATGTTGTGTGGAGGTTCTTCCAGGCGGTGAATGACAGTGTATGTTTGTTGAAACACTTCACAGGGTTTAAAATCCACCCGTCCATTCTCTCCCGCCTATCCTCAGAGTGGGGGAGGGGGAGGGGGGTAATGTGTGGCTCCTGGCTCTATACGACCACTGTGGCGTTCTGTATGGACACAGCTGAAGAAATGTGAATAAAAACTGGAGGAATAGGACACTATGGTGTAAAGCTTCTGCTGGATATCAATTCAATTCAATTTTATTTATATAGCGCCAAATCACAACAAAAGTCGCCTCAAGGCGCTGCATGTGGAGTTCTGTATTCATGGTTTAAAGTCGGTCCTGAGTGTTTCTGCTCTCGTACCTCACTGTGTGTCTATGATGTGATTCGTGTTCGATATTTGTCCCCAATGAATAAATAACAATAACACGTAGAAACACTGCAGCGCTGAGAAACACGAGTGGTTGGGTCTTACCACAGCTCAGCCGGTGGACGTGGTTCCCACACGTGGTGACTCTCTGCGCACCTTTAAAGCACACATGGAGCTATTAGTCTAACATACATATTAAAACTAAGCACACTGAGAAACAATCAGACTAGCAGACACTTACCTGTGCTAACAAGCAGACAGGCTGCTGCCAACACTGAAAAACAAAGGAGCAGCACTCTCAATTTATAATGTGGCCAAATATGAAAACACGTGATACTTTACCCTTAAATACATGAACTGAAGAAATCTTCTTCAGCTAGAAAACAACATGAATGAGAAAATGCTGACTGTACTCACAGAGCGTGCTGCTGAGGCGGAGCATGGTTTCAGGGGACTCAGTGAGACTGATGCTTGCAGCAGAAACACGCAGCATTTATAGCTTTGAGTCTGTTTGCAGTCTCATCTTATCGTGCTAAACAAACCTTACCCCCCAGACTTTTGTTCAGCTGGATACGTGCCCAAACATGTGGTCAGGTGCTCGCCCAGTGAAGGATTTGACATGATTATACACACATGCAAAGAGCATACAGTCCTGATCATGGAAATGCTTGGATCAAACATGCTGCAATGAATGTTTGAAGTGATCGATAACAGTGGAGCTCTTTACTGAGTTCATGTTTGGACCTTTGCTTTCTTTTCTTTCTTTTTTTTTGGGGGGGGGAGGGGGTTACAGGGTTTACAGGGGGTTACAGCCTGTTTCAGTTTAAATGTTGTTTTCAATAAATTGCATGCTCAACAAAATGTTTTGTCTCAGTAACATTTCTTCTTGTTGCATGTTGAAGCTCGACCTGGAACCTTGTTCAGATCCAGCCATGCAAAACAGGATTTAGTCATTTTTCATGTGGTCTATGTGGTAGAGGGCCCAGGCCTGAAGGATAGACCGACAGGTCTGTGTAACAATGACACTTGGCTCATTGTAACTTCAAAAAGTCATTTATTGATTTATTAACCTTACAATGTTTCACAGAGCTCAGGGTGTTCGTCAGCTCAAAAACACAGCAAGCATCCCACCTCGGTCACTTTCCCCGCTGATGCTGACATCAGCCTGCTCACGATGCCCAAATTCCCTTTTTGCTGATGGGCTCCATAAAATACTGTTTCCACTGAAGAAGGTGTGTTTTTATTTTATGGCCAACAGCTAAACTACTCTTTATGCTGTTTGATTGTCTGCACAAAGTAGAGAAATTGATATCTACCTCAGTTTTATTCTGTTGTATTTATTTATGCCTTTTTTATTTGATCTATTTGTACATATTAACCTGCATCTGTGTGTGGACAGCAGAGAAAGACTTTCATTGCACAGAGAAATGCTTTTCTTTGTACACGTGACAATAAACGCTTGAATCTTTGAATCTTGAATCTTTGAGGACACATGGTTTCAGTGAATCAGGAAATACTGAACTGGCTGACACACGATTTACAAAGTGAAAAAAGACAAACGTGCAGATTTTCCAAATGTAAGTGTGCAGGTTTGTTTCTGTTATCTGTGCGCTTCTGTTTCTGTTAGGATTGCATACCAGAATAAACAGAGCAGAAGAAGAGCAAACAGACAAGACAAATAGGACACAAAAAGCAGATAACTCAGCACAAACACAGGCACGCTGCCACCACACGCAAGCATCACTGACAGTAAATCTGATCCTTGCAAGACACAGTCTGCACTATGTCCTGAATAACATGGAATTGTAACCCTGATACTGTGCAATGCATGCATGCCAGCACTGCTTTAGAGCAGTTTGATGTGCAGAAAAATAAATCCGATATTTTAAAAATAGAGGTCGTTTCCTTTGATCTGACTTGAGACATTCAGCTCCATGCAAAAGTCTGGACAACTCGAACTTATGCAGCAGACACACAAAATGTCTTCTTCTTCTTATCTTCTAATGTTTACGCCAACAGAAATACAAAAAGTATTTCTTATTTCCAAAGGTCAACACAGCCGTAATATCTATGTTACAGCTCCTTCTCGGAGGGTATGACGATGATACTGTCACAGTTACAGCTGCAGGCGACATCCCACAGGTCAGCCGGGCACTCCCAGGCCTGACTCTGACGTAACACAGTTAATATAAGTGTGTAATGCAAAGTGACCACATCATAAGAGTTCTGCTCTGTGTCATAGTTTTTACAGCACACGTTGTTCTGATCAGGATTATTTTCAAATCTGTCCTTACTTATTTTACACGACACTGATTAAAGTATACACCTATTCAGGAAAGCTGTGATGGCACAGATGCATGCTGGGAAATATAGTACTGGTACCTTCTGAACTTGCTGCCTGGTCCTCAAACAATTAGATCCTCAAAGAATTTTGCCTGAGAATTTGGCAAAATCCCTGCAGACCTGCTGACGTCAACCATGTGACAGTTTTGTCTTATACAGCAGCATTTTATTTCATGTTGAGCGAGCAAAGAGAAAAATGGTGCTCAAAAGAGGAGAGAGAGAAGAGAGCAGGATGAGTACAACGACCCGCAAGGCTCAAAAGATACAGTCTGAAATATCGTTACTACTGTTGTTATAATATGTGCTCATACTGTAATATGAGTGGCTGTTCCACTGTAAAGTAACACAGACTGAGGATGATGTGACCCACACAGTGGGTTTGTGGACACTTCTTTGTTCCATGATTACAGACATCGTGGTGTGACCTTATATGACGTGTACGCTCCCACAGCCTGGGATTGCTGTTGTTATTTTCCACGTGTGATTTAGAGAGAGAGTGCTTCAGTACAACATGATGGTGAGGATCTATCAAAGTTACGACTTCACATTCATGTAACGCCAACACTTTCATGTCAGAGTAACAAACGACAAGCTCTGTAGCTGCAATAAAACAAAGACTGGGAGGCTTTGTTTGTATATTAAGCAAGAAAAATGAAGCCTGTCTGTTTGGGTTGTGCTCGGCGTGTATGTCACACTGTGTCTGTCTAATACTGATCGATTGGGAAAGGAGCAGAGTTCAGCAGGAAGTGTGAAAACATCAAAGACGGTCAAACAAATAAGAAAAGTGCGAACGGCTGTTACAGTTTTCAGGTTTTCACACTTTTTTCACTTTGTCTCTGTGGCCGACGTGTGGACGATCAGAGCAGCAGCAGCACATACAGACGCTCTCTGTACGCGGACCAAAGCTATGCACCTCTGTTGTAAACTTCTCACTCAGAATTAATCAAACAGTCTTCTGCTGCACAGCTGAGGATTCTGACACTATGTAAGAACACAGGCAGGATCTAAACCCACAGAGCAGTCGTCCACAGTGTCCAGTCTGACACATGATGATCTGCAAACTGTCCATGAAAACATCTCAAGAAGCTGGTCATGACACAATAATGGGAATCAATGATAGTTTAATAGTGTGTGCAGGAGTAGAAAAGTCCAATTTGGCTGTCCAATCAGAAACAAGAAAGGAAACGAGGTTAGCGTGTCCTCGATCGTATTTAGAAACTCCCCTGCTCATCCTGGGAACACACTAAAGTTTACGGCCTTTAGGCCTGTGTTTGAATCGAGCCTGCAGCCGTGAGCTGCATGTCTTACTCCTCGTCTTTCTGTCCTGTCGCACTAAAGGCTGAAAAAACAAACAGAAAACAGCGAAACATGAAGTTTACACATACCTCTGCACTGAAAACAAACCTGGCCTCACTCATAAATATTTACAGCAGGTGAGAAACTTTCATTGTCAGTTGTGTGTACAGTTTTGTGTGCTGTGGATGAAATCATGTGTATTTGATCTTTGAACACTTTGGGTCCAGCTGCCATAAACTGAGTGAATCTGCAGCCTAACACTGAAGTCACGCATACACATCCACACACAGCTCGGCCATTGTACACTGCAGTCAAAGACATATTGTTGAAGGTAAATAGTTGTGTAATTTTATCTTTTTTAACCTGCAGACCAACATCAGGGGTATTTGGAAAGTTCAGCTCCGCATGTTCTCATCAGTTCATGAACTTGGTTATAACACAGACCTATCTCATCCTTGAGGTTTATTATTTAACTACCTTGTCAATATTTGAAAGGAAACATGGCTTAGGACAAACAAAGTCATAAACTGGTTTCCACTGGTAATAGATGAGCTTCCAAGAAAGGCTCTGGAATCCTTGACCTTTAGCAGGACCTCCACCGGGTAATGGTCGCTGACACCCAGCGCCTGAATAAAACAGGAAGAACAGCCAGTGTCAACAAATGAACAGAGTTTGATCTGCTTCAGTAACAAAATCACAGCACACCGTGTTTAACACACTTTGTAGGTGTGTGTTTCTGTACAGTCCACACACACTGGTACAGACATGCAGAGCGTGGACTGTTACCTGCTCCTCCGTCAGTCCGTATTCCTCTTGAAAGTTAAACGGTTTGGCTGAAGCAGGCACGATGGCTCTGTGAAAGGTTTCCCCATTCACAACAATCCTGTTGGCACAAGCAGAGAGCAGCACACATTTACTCATGTCTCTTATTTCATTCACACGGTCACATTTAAGTCTGCTATAGTCTGCTTACATTTACATATTGCATATCAGCTGCAGTAAACAACAACAACGCACCTTTTTTAATCAAAGGAAACTTTGTTTCTTGAAAAGTTCCAGGGATCCTAAAATCTTGGGAACCCTCTTGAATCAAATCTTTGTGCGTTTACCTGTCGTAGGGGCAGGATGTGGTTGATCGCACGGTGGTGTCAGCGTCGTCTGGGATGAGCCAAATAAGATTCGTGTCTGTGATTAGGCGCACATTCTTCCTGTTCTTCTTAGCGAGGTAGCCACAGCCCGCATTAAAGTCTCCAAGAAGCATCACATTCTGCCCATTACAGCACAGCGGTCACCATGTACACCTGTGGTATTGACTTCTTATCTGTTTGATGAATGCCAAAATAGTCTTTACCTCAGTTTTCCACATGTTTCTCACATGCTGTAGAACATCATAGAGGGCATCGAGCTCCTTGGTGGTGTTGGAGGGCGTGGTGTGCTGAGGTATGAGAACAAACTCCTTTATAGCTGAGGATGGAAATGAGGGTTAGAGGGAGAATCCATCCAACAGCACCAATATTTCCATTCTGTCACAGGGAAGCATCGGGGACCGACCTGTGCGGTCCGCTCTGAAGCGGACAGCAAACGGCTCTCTGGAGAAAGCGTCGACGTCTCCTGGTTTATTATCAGGGTACTGATACTGGTCCGTGACCCTCACCGTCTCCTTCCTGAACACATTCAGGTTCAGTGAAGCCAGACTCCGTCACTATACCTGCACTTAGATGTCCTCTGCACAGAGGTGTAGCTCACCTGTACACAAACACGTACTGCTCCTGGTATGTCTCAGACCTGCCCAGTCTCTCGCTGGCCACAGTCTCATATTTATACTTGGTGTCAAACCTGAGAGTGAAACAGCACAGACGGGACGGGGATGCAGTCACTGCATGTGTCAGTCGCTAAGTTTGAACATTTAGAGTCCAAACCACTCACCTCCAAACTGATGCAATAACATGTGTCTGTGGGTGTGTGTGGGTGTCTGTGTGTGTGTGTGTGTGTGGGTGACTTTGGGTCTCGGTGGGTGTCTGTG